TGGCCTCCTCCTGCTGATGATGGACTCTCAGTTGTTTGTAATTTTCTCAAAAAATAAATACTCTGAGGCTACAATTTCTCATGCTTGGTCTCAATCCCAGAAGTGTGCTTTGTTGTTGTTGTTTCTGGAAAGTTTCAAAAACGTCTGTTTGGAGATTATTTTAGTGGGGAACACGTATGTCAGCAGTTAAACCTCTCAGGCACATTTTCTTTTATTTTTCCTGTTCCAATAACCCTTAAAGATGCCAAGTACCTAGGTCTCAGTGAGGGATTCATGGCAAGAATTCAGTTTCCTTTTTCTCTGATGTTTTAATTGTTTTCCCCTTGATGTCTCCTCTGTCTCTGAGAAAATGCATAGAAAACAAGATATCCTTTTCTCATCCAAATATAAGACGCGCTTTGCATTGCCAAGAAAAATCACAGACCTTACTGTTGCCTTTGCCCAACTTTTAAATTGTACCTTGTTCTTTCCACAATGGCACAAAGTTACAGTGCAATTAAGTATTTCAGTTTAAGCCTTACTTGCTTTTTTTTTTTTAAACCTTAAAGCAAAGCTCTCAGAAACCTAAGTCTTTGGAATTATTATCTTTTCAGACCAAACTCACTAGGTAACTTGCTCCAGGAAGTAACTCAGTTTTCCCTATCGTACCCACAGTGACCACACACTCCCTATTTTTAACGTGTTTGTCACCGTTCTGCTTTTATGTGACTTAGACCCCACGTGCCCTGTTTTGGGGCCAAGGAAGTGGTACCTGCTCACAGCTCTGTTTTGGGATGAATGAGTTAACTCCTTTCTTTGAATACTTGCTTCCTGTCACCCCTGTCCCTTCCCAGCTTTCTTTTCTCCTTGTTGCTTTTAAAAGCAGGATGGTGGCTGGCAGCAACAGTGGAATCTGTTTCCATTTTGAACCTTATAAACCACTGAGGGTACAGAAGTAACAAGAATTATTTGACTGGCCCTCGTTAAGCAGGAAGGGTCTGGGCTGAGTTTCCTCAGAAAACCCTTGGTCAGCTTTATAACCCCAGCACCTCCATACCTCTGCTTAGATAAGAAAGACCTCTCCCTGCTTTGTCTTCTTGCACTGTTTTTGCCTTTTATAACTTTGTATTCATTTTCCAGCCCCCTCCCACTTCCTTTGGGCAGGGAAGGAACCAAACCAGTTGCCCTTGATTCCGACTCATGGCGACCCCTTCTGTGTCAGAGTACAACTGTGCTCCACAGGGTTTTCAATGGCTGATTTTTCGGAAGTAGATCACAAGGTCTTTCTTTTGAGGTGCCTGTGGTTGGACTTGAAGCGCCAACCTTTTGGTTAGCAGCCACCCAGTTCACTGTTTACGCCCAGGGACCTGAGGAAGAAACAGGTGTTATCAGTCTCCTTAATTAGTGGGCAAACGAGTATGTTCCCTAAATCCCGTAACTAGGAACTCATGCAGTGTTCTCTATGAATACGTTATTTCACTGGGGAAAAGTAAGTTAGAGAATTAAAACAAGTTCTGGAAAACTGAGAGGATGCCAAAAGCTTGCTTTTTGGTAATGGTTTGCATACAGATTAATGAACTTTTTCTCTAGAAGTCACTGTTAAAATTCCTCACTCTTCTACTCCACCATTATTCCAACTATGTTTGTTAAGCACCTATTATTGGGTGGCAGCCCTGGTGGTGCAGTGTTGAGAGCTACGGCTGCTAACCAAAAAGGTCAGCAGTTTGAATCCACCAGCCACTCCTTGGAAACCCTATGGGGCAGTTCTGCTCTGTCCTGTAAGGCTGTTGTGAGTCGGAACTGACTTGACAGCAACAGGTTTGGTTTTTTCTTTTTTATTATTATTGAGTGTAGAGCCATGATAGAAAAGATGCAAAAAGGCAGGATGATATCATGGTTAAAAGCACAGAGCTTTGGAAGCAACTCAACCTGGATTTCAGTTCAGGCCTGCAGTTATATGGCTTTGGGCAAGGTTGCTTCTGGACCTCAATTTCCCCACCTGTAAAATGGGGATAGTAGCATCCACCTTGCAGAGCGGTTGTGAGATTATAAGAGACACTTTGTACAAAGAATTTAACAGGTACCTGTATATAGTAGCACGCATTCTCCTAATAAAATTTCACCTTGCTTACCTGTACATAGTAGCACGCATCCTCCTATTAACTGAAAGGCTGGCGGTTCGAACCTATCCAGAGGTGTCTCAGAAGAAATGCCTGGTGATCTGTTTCCAAAAGGTCACAGCCTTGAAAACCCTATGGAGCGCAGTTCTACTCTGCACACATGGAGTTGCCATGAGTCGGAATCTGCTCCATGGCAAATAGTTAATAACACAGCACTTTGATTTACTGAATTGTCTAAAAAAGAGCAAAAGCTTTATTTCTACACCCACAGGAAATTATTTTAACTTGTCAGGAAAGAACTTTCGAAACTATTGCCAGTTGGAAACCCCAGGTTCTGCTCAGCATGACTCGTCTCCGCTAATAAGCGAGAGACTGAGGTGGAAGAGTAGAAAGCCTCCTTTATTTTGTTGCACAAGGAAAGGAACAGTAGGGGCTGCTGCCACCAAGACTGCTCAGCGAGGGTGAGAGGGAAGGTTACTTTTATGGGGTTTATAGGCAGCAAGTTCATACAAGTTACGTCAGCAACATTCTTAATCATACTACGCAGACACAATAGGGTTTACCTATAACTTCATGCATCGCATGTTCAGAAAATGGGGGTTAAACTCCACCCAGAAGCGGGGAAGTTACTACGTATGAGGCACTGAATGAGCTAAAAGGTTATCCAGAATGTCAGCATGGCACCTAAACCGATTTCTGCCAATTTCTTCTAGTTTGGGGAGGCAGTTAAGGAAAGGGGAGCCAGGATATTAATGTAAGGCAAGCTCCTTGAGGCAGTGGAATGTTAATGTAAGGCAAGCTGCTTGAGGCAGTGGAATTTTCCACAACCTGGGGGCCTCTGTCTTAAAAAGCCTCTTTCAAAAGTTTCTTTCAAAAACCCTTCTAGAAAACATCCCCTTTTCCTTTCCCAGAGCTATCAAGGAGTCTCGCAGGTCCTCGCGAGTCCTCTCATGTAGAAGCCACAAGGCAAAGGGGAGAATGTAAATCAAAGGGGAAGAACTCTTTTTTGAAGACATATTCAGAATGTCAGCGTGGGGCCTGAGGACCTAGATGTAGTGTCTCTGAGGGTCCTAGTTAAGGTGCTCATCAGGCGTCTCAGCAACCAGGTGGAAAGCAAAAAGGCCAAAGGCCAATGGAGAAGGAAAGGTGGAGTCCCATCTGAGGCACTTCCCACACAGGGCAAGATCATTGGTCCTAGCCTTCAGACCTCTAGGCCAGGCATTCTGGGGATCGGAAGGCTCAAGACCATCTCTTGCAAACAACTGTGCAGACAGTGAGGACTTCCAAGATCTCTCAGTTGGGGAGCTTTACTACTTCCCTTGGTTTTTCAGTGGTAACTGTAAGTCTTTGAAAGGATCACTGGTCAGGTAAATTGGTCTAGAAGAGTAAACATTTTGAATATATGTCACACTCCTGGAAATGTTGGTATTACTACATGTGCATGATCAGGAGAATTTGTTTACTGCCCAGATCATTGACGTGTTGCCTTAAATATTACCTGAAGCTCATACTAATGCCTCTCTGCCTAAGAAGGATATTGATTAAAAAAAAACAAACAGTTGCGGTTGAGTTGATTCCAACTCATGACGACCCCTTCTGTCTCAAGAGTAGAACTGTGCTCCATAGGGTTTTCAGTGAATGATTTTTTTGGAAGCAGATCACCCGGCCTTTCTTCCTAGGTGCCTCTGGGTGGACTCAAGCCAAGCACATAACCGTTTGCATCATTCAGAGAACTCCAAGGATATTGATAAACCTTCCTTATTTGCCCAATATTTTGTAAGTACATCAGTGAAAAGCATAGTTAAAGAAGCAAAATCTTGGTTTTGACTGTCACAGATGTGTGCATTAGCCTCTGCCCTTGTGTGATTTCAATGACTCTTTTAAGGAAGTGGCTTCAGGGAGGCATAAAGAAATATTACTGTGGTCGTGGAGGAGTTAGAGTCCTAGGCAGACAGTAAGAGAGTGGATGATAGCTAAGATGTGTCATCAGGTGGCTGGAGGTACAGCACAATCTATAGCCTACAGGAAGTTTGTTCTGGGTTAGAGATGCAGCCTGGGCAATCATCAAGAGCACAGATTTTGTAGAGAATGGAAAACACCGGAATTCCAGCATCAAAGGTAGAGAGAAGCAGAAGTCAGCAAGTGAAGCTAAAATAAGGCATGCGCCCCGGAAAGGTGAGGGATCTTGGCTGACGTGACTTTTGTCTGTGTTTGAGGTTATAGATAGCTAAGGAAGGTAGAGTTCATTCCAGAAATAGAAGAGAGTTCACAGGAGTATAGGCATAGAACCGGGATGAAGAGAATCAAAGCAGAAAATCTTTCATTCATTAGTAACATCCCCTAAAAGGGAGATCCTACACGTCTTGTGGAGGCCTGGTGGCAGCACAGTGGTTAAGCTCTCAGCTGCTAACCAAAAAGTCAACAGTTCGAATCCACCAGCCACTCCTTGGAAACCCTATGGGGCAATTCTACTCTGTCTTATAGTGTTGCTATGAGTTGGAATCGACTCGACAGCAATGGGTGGTTTACATTTCTTACGCACAAGACAATGCAGTTCCATAAGAGTCTGCCCTCGTGTTCTTACAGGCATAAAATCACCTTCTGGCTCAAGGGGGCAACTCCTACGAAGCCTCTCAGATGAAAAATGGCATAAAAGTGTTCTCCAGCCTCCCAGTGACTTGGCCAAGTCTACACTTCGAATGTGGCCAGCGTGTACAATGAAAGCCGGGGCGGGAGACGGAGCCAGAACGTGTGGCTATGGCAGGGACAGCCAGGCGTTCTCATCATGGCCAACCATCCCCCCTCTCTCTCACTACAGAGTGTTGCAGGGAACTGCACTATCTTTTTGAGTGACCCGCAGTGGCTTATGGGACATTGGCTCGGGACCCTCTGTGATACACCATGCTGCGTGGGGTGACGACAGTTCAGAGAAGGGAGAGGCCAGCGGTCATGCTCGCCTGCCTTCTCTTAGCCACAGCAGGCTCCTTGGCAGACTTGAGTGAGTACCTCCCCCCCTTTCTTAGCCTGCCCTCCTAGGAGAACACTCGGTCCCTCATGGAAAATGGAAGGTTAGCATTCTACAACAGCTCTTTAAAAAGGCCTTCCTCTTCCTGGATTCAAAGAACGGTTCACTCTCGCTGGCCTCCAGGGACATGCTCAAGAATACGAGATGAGAAATGACCACAACAAAGTGGTGTTTTATCCATTTTAGAGCTGTGCCAGAGGAGGGGGTAATAATAATAATAATAACAACCGCCTTTTATTGAACACTTATTGTATGAAATTATGAAAGGCAATTTATACACATTGTAAACCTTACAACAACCCTGAGAGGCAAGGGTTATTAGCTGCATTTTACGGATAAGAACTGAGACTCACACTGCTCAGTACCACGGGGATTCGGACCCAAGTCCCTCCAGCTCCAAAGCCTGGGCTCTCGTGCCCTTACGCCACACCACTGCTGTGAATCTACCTTCTGGGATAAGGACAGGTTGAGGGATGGACCCAAGGGCAGCAGAGTTACTCAGAATGATCAGCTCATCTGCGGTACTCAGCTCTGGAAGGCTACCTGGGTGGGGGCGTCAGTTCACTGTGCATCTCTGTTCTTCCTCCAGATGAGGTCCCCCAGGTCACTGTCCAGCCCGCTTCCAGCGTCCAGAAGCTTGGGGGAACTGTGATCCTGGGCTGTGCAGTGGAGCCCCCATGGATGGACATCACCTGGCGCCTGAATGGGAAGGAGCTGAACAGCTCAGATGATGCTCTGGGGGTCCTCATCACCCGCGGAACCCTCGTCATCACTGCCCTCAACAACCACACCGTGGGACGGTACCAGTGTGTGGCCCGGATGCCTGCAGGGGCTGTGGCAAGCGTGCCAGCCACTGTGACACTAGCCAGTGAGTGCTGCTGTCTGTCCTTCGCCCCCCGCCTTGTGCTGCAGTCTTTCTCCCCCTCTTCTTTCCTCTCTCGCTCTTCCCTACCCTCCATATAGCCCTATCATTGGTCTTCCTGTAAAAGGTGTTGTAGCAGCTGAGATTTCAAATCAGAGATTAGTAGCTGCCCAATAATCCTCAGATGGTCTAATCACTGAGTAGGGCACCATTGTGCCCTTGTGAAGCTTCACTCTAAATAGGTGCAATGCTCGGAATCACTAGACAGAGAGGCAAACCGGTCAGTATTCTTGACATGGCTGACTGTTTCTGTGAGTCCCAGGGCTGGGCCGTGCCATGACCTTCTACTTGGACACCCTACGGTTTCAGATGCCGTTGTGCAAACTACTTGCCCATCCTCTTCCATCCCCCTGGCTCATACTCACTGCCCACAATCAGAGGCTATCTGTTGTCTGGACAGAGCCTCCCCATCCCAGGTCTGGCCTCCTGTCTTTCTGTGAGGGGCAAGCATATTCCAAAGGCCTGGAATATCAACAGTAGAACGTGTTGGAAAGGAAACAGTGACAGAGATGAGAAGAGAAGAGAGAAGTGACAGTTTGGTCAAAGAAGGATGCGCCAGGAGAAGACTTCATGTTACTATATTTAATTACCACTTGAGTGTACTGTGTTCCAGGCACAATGCAGAATCTAATTCTCTAGCCATCATGAACATGGGAAAATGAGACTTGATTGATTAAATAAATTACTGAAGGCTACAGAGAAGTCTTATATGCTGAGCCTAGAGCCAGGAAATATTAAGAATTACCTCCAACTTGGCCTCTTTCCTAGAGGGAATAGGGAAACTCGTTGGGACTTTAATGGTATTTGAATTTAAACTTTGAGACGATTTCCATAGTTTGTTCCCTCGTGACTTGGTAGGGACCTCCGTCCCCGGACGGTCGTGCTCAAGCCTTCTGTGTTCACCATCATCACAACCCTCTGGGCGATGGTCTTGCTTTATGCGTCAGCCTAAGGCAGCAGACTTCTGAAATGCCCCTGTACCAAAGCCAGCTGGGGCCCCCAGGGTGTGGGAGGAAAGAGTTCAAAGGTGGGAAGGAGAAAAGGTCCCTCTCTGCCCTCAGTTCGCAGAGGGACTCTGCTCAGTGGGAGAAAGGAATGCAGGCTGTAGGCAGTTTTCTTGGGAAACAGTCAAGGAGTGAAAGGCAGGATGTACCCCCAGCCTCCCCCCTTGGGGGCCAGGCTGACCTTGCGCTGAGTCGGAGCACCCATTGAGTGCCAGGATCCGGAGAGCAGCCTGCGAGCACTCAGTGAGAGAGGCAGGCCATACCAGCTTTGCTTGTCAGAAGGGGTGCAGGGAGTGCCTGGAGACTTGTGTGGGAAAGGTGAAGGTGAGAAAGGAGAGCTGGCAGGGGCATATCATCACAGCCACAAGGGCTGTGGTCGGTGCTACGCTTCCTACCATCATACTCCTTGTTTACTTTTTAAAATTGTAATTATACTATAGAAAGTTTAGAATATACAGAAAATACTGCCTCCCCTAAGCCCACCATCCTCATGCAACTACCATTATTATTTTGGAGTCTACCTGTCCAGTCTTCATCCATATTTTTACATTGTCATAGTTATACTACTGAATGTACAGTTTCTATGTTTAATTTCTCCCTTCGACATTATGATGAGCATTTTCCTTTAGCTGTCTGATCATATTTACTCTCTCTGTTTTATTGAGTGTAAAATGCATAATGTATACAGTAAAGTCACAGAGTACACTAATCTTAAGTGAACCATCTGATGTACACCCTGGTGGCACAGTGGTTAAGCACTCAGCTGCTAACCGGAAGGTCAGTGGTTCAAACCCACCCAGCCACCCCAAGAGAGAAAGATGTGGCAGTCTAATTCCATAAAGAGTATAGCCTTGAAAACTCTATGAAGCAGTTCTACTCTGTCCTATAGGGTTTCTGTGAGTCAAAATCGACTGTACAGCAACAGGTTTGGGTTTGGGTATATACACCCATGTGACCATCATTCCAGCAGGTTCCCTTACATCCCCTCCTAGTTAATGCCACCCTGGCTTTCCCCACCAGAGCATGATCGTATTATTAATGGCCCTAGAACATCCCTGGAGTGGTTGTGCCATAGTGCACTGAACCCTTATCCCATTGCTCGGCAGTCAGGTCACCTCCAATTGTTCATTATTACAGAAGAGGTGTGTCTTTAAAACATAATGCAGCTCATCTTGGGGGAGGGGGGAGAGGGAGAGGTTTTATCTGCAAACGGTCAGCAGGTCAGCACATGTGTCTGTAGACTCATTGCAAGAAATTCCATCACCATCAATTTGGCCTAACGAGGAGCCAGGCTGAGCCTTTTATTATTTGAAGAAGGGAGAGCTGGAGAAGAAGATTTATGTTGGAACCCTCCTTTGGCTTCAAGGTGTATCTGTGTGAGGAGAGACAATTTATAGCCTATATTTTTAAAAAAAACTCCCTGGCCGCTGCTATCTCTGGTGCTTGAGGGGATCTGCAGTTGGCAGTGAGGACAAAGGTAGAGTCTGGTTGCTGCCCAGGAAGGCACGGTAAGAAAAGGCTTGTGCAGGGGCCAAGCCAGCTTGTTGGAAGGCCAAGAACTATTGGCTTGTCATTTAGACATGAATCAGAAGTGAAATGTTCAGGCCTGACTGGAAGGTTGGAGAAGTGCTGGAAAGAGAGAGAGAGAGCAAGAGGGAGTCTGTGAGGTGGAACTGCAGCCTCCCTAACCTGCAGGCAGTGGCAGGCTGGCGAGAAGGTGGCAGGGGCAGGAGAAGGGGCTGCTGTCTTTGGGTTGATGCCACTGGGGAATCTGGCCCAGACTCAGCAGTTAGATTAAGTTTCTGAAAGCACATTCCTGAGCAGAATGAGGGCTGTGTTTTGTTGGTTGGCTGATACAGGAGGGAGGTGAGTGGTAGATGGGATTACTGAAGGCATGGTCTGCATTTAGACAAAGGCAGGGCAGCGGCGTACCCCTGCACACCATGCACTCACACCCACACACATCATTCCAGGCTTCCTCTTCCTGTGGCCTCTTCTGCACGTGCTCAGATGTTCATCTGCAGACAAAACAGTTGCTGTTTGGCCTACCTGGCTGGAGGCTGCCTCCTGTGTCCAAGTGCTGAAAGTCGGAGTTTTAGATGAGGGGTGCTAGAACTTAGGGGGTGGGAAGGAGGCCTCTGTCGGGAGAGCTTTCCTTGTCAGGAACCCTTTCACCCCAACACTGGATGTTGGGGTTTCCACTTAGAACTCACCCCTACCTGGTAACATCAGCTTCTGGTCTTTAGATAAAATGGAGCCTGAAGAGTCCCACCTGTGCACCCCACCCTCCACTCCAGGTGGTCCCGGCTGTGTGGACAATGGCTGTCTGCCCTCTCTGTGGAGGTACCCGCCTTGCTCTCCTCTGTGGAGACTTTTTTTTTTCTATTTAACCTAAACTTCCCTTTTTGGGGCAAATCTCTTGTTGCTGATGCCTCACTTCTGACTATCTCATCTAATTCTTGCTTTTTGAAATCCTTTTGGCTTTGTTATCCTTGATTCCTCTTCCTTTTACCTTTCTTTTCACAAGCTCTACACTAAGGAGGCAACCACTCCATATGGCTCAACCGTTCCCACTCTGGGCTCCAGAACCACCAGTGGGCATTGCTAACTGAACACAAGACTCTGTTACTGGATCCTGATTCAGCCTCAGAATTGTCCTCAGCACGGACAGCAGACAGCCACGACCAGTTCACCAGAGCTGCCTACAACGTGAAAACTGTTTTCTGTCCCTCAGCTCTGATAATCTACCATGCAAATAAACGCCTACTTAATCCTTTTTTTTTTTTTAAGTTTTATTGTTCGTTAGTGCAAATTAGTTTCTTATTCAAAAATTTATACACAAATTGTTTTGTAACATTGGTTGCAATCCCTGCGGTGTGTCAGCACTCTCCTCTTTTCCACCTCTGGTTCCCCGTGTCCATTTGTCCAGTCTTCCTGTCCCTTCGTGCCTTCTCATCTTTGCTTCTGGGCAGGTGTTGCCCATTTGGTCTCATATACACGATGGAACTAAGAAGTACATTCTTCACGTGTGTTATTGTTTGTTTCATGGGCGTGTCTAATCTTTGGCTGAAAGGTGGACTTCAGTTCTGAGTGGCTTCAGTTCTGAGTTAGCAGGGTGTCCGGGGGACCATAGACTTGGGGATTCCTCCAGTCTCTGTCAGACCAATAAGTCTGGTCTTTTTTGTGAATTTTAATTTTGTTCTACATTTTTCTCCCGCTCTGTCTGGGACCCTCTATTGTGATCCCTGTCAGAGCAGTCAGTGGTGGTAACTGGGCACCATCTAGTTCTTCTGGGTTCAGGTCAGGGTGGTGGAGGCTGTGGTTCATGTGCTCCATTAGTCCTTCGGACTAATATTTTCCTTGTGTCTTTGGGTTTTTTCATTCTCCTTTGCTCCAGACAGGGTGGTACTTAAATTTTTTTTTTTTTAAAGTTTTCAATTCTTTAATTCTCCCAATTACCCTGTCATCCCTAGGTCCCAGGAGTAGTTGGAAATAAAAATAGGTGGTAGCTGGTAGTAATTGTCTCTCTAGGAATTGTAGTTCTCAAGCTAATGGGAAGTCTTAAGTTGATGGTGGTATGTGAGAACAGATCCATAACTTGTCTATAAGGCCTTTGAGCACTAAGACCAGACATGCACTCCTGAATTGTCCACTCTGCTGGCTTCAGAGGTCAGGAGGTGAGGCTGCTGACAGGAAAGGAAGGAATTCCCTTGGGCAATGGTCTTCATGGCTCTCTGACTTTTAGTAAAGGTCAGCAGATAACCAGGGGTCCAGTGTTACCGCAATTTGACACATGAATAAAATGAAGAACCACAGTGGTTTAGTGGGAAAAACAAGGAACAAACAAATAAACAATCCTGGGATGAAGTCCTAGCTCTGCCACTTAGCAATTACGTGACTTTGGGAAAGCCACTTCATCTCTCAGATCTCCACAGCTGTGAA